GAGGCAAATGGTGTTCTGTTGTTTTTACCTTGGTTCATCACCTGCGGACAAAGGACCCTTCTTTCAACTTAGTCTTTACCCTCAAAGAGATTTTAGCCTGCTACCAAACTCAATGTTAAATCTCAGTACATGTCAAAGATGGGTTAAGTTTGGTACTTAGGTAGAAAGGTGAACCTTCAAAAACAAAGCATGTTTGAATGGATTATTCAAGTTTGAGATGCTTGTTTGAAAACTCTCCTCTTAAAATTATGTCAATTTAATGTCTTTTTTTAAATGCTTCTAAAAATTCTGGCCCATTATTTGGGCCAGCTGGTGGTATAGTTATTAAGGTGGCTGGATCTCACATGGTCAACTACATGGTTCAAGTCCCAAACCCAGTAATTTGAAAAACACACTGGGTGTGTGTACGTGAGTATGTCTAAAATCCCCAGAGGACAATGGAAGAGGAAGGATTGTGACAGCCACTCCCTCTGGAGGGTGATTTCTTACTCCCTTCCAGTCATGTACATGCTCTATAGCAAAATTAAAAGAAAAAAAATCACATCTCAAAATAAGATTTCCTTCATTCCTTTGGCCACGATATCAGGTCCATGATTGCAAACTGAAAAAGAATTAAAAAATCAGAACAATCTCCCATAACCTTATCCTGTTTGTTCTTACAGCATTTTATGTGTTGTGAAGTATTAACAGTATTTTTGTGATCCTGACAAACAATTCCGTGAAGTAGAAAATATAGAAACATTTATCTAGACAGATAAAGTCAACTACCTAATAAAAAAGCCATTAAGTGGCAGAATTAGCCACTCTTAAGGCCTTAATTAACTCAGCTCTTTAGGTCTTCTGGCCCTAAGTCCATAACACACATGTATTAAATTCAAAAAAGTGATTGTTTTGGAAAACAAATTCTTGCTTTTTAAAATTTGTGTAATAAAAACATTTTTTAATCTTTTTATTACCATGAAGTATGTTTAAGCATATTTGCCTATAGATCAGTTAATTCTGTAAATTATCTTTGATAATAAATTAAATTCCTTTTGCCTATCCCACTAAGAACATTGAAAATTTTTGAATTTTAGAAGTTTGAAATAAAAATGTAATAAAACATTCTTTTTCAATTAATAGTTTAAACTTCATTAAACAATACTAACAGGAAGCTCTGCCAATTCTAATGGGATGAAAAAGTTCTCTGAAGCTTATTTTACTTTCCTTAAATTGGAAACTCTCTTTACCATCAGTTATGTTTATTGAAAGTCATTCTAATTCCTAATTTATGACAAAATGTTTTCTTCCTTTGAAATACAAGAGTTATCATGTTTCCAGCTTAGATGTAATCTACCATATACAAAGGATTATATAAGGATATCCCAGTATCTCTGATAAAATTATGACCCAAGATTCATTTTACATTTTAATGATATTATTTTAAAAATTTTGCATTTCTTTATAATAAAAGCAAATTTCATAAAATACTGAAATCTTGAAAATGACCAAAAAAGTTTAATGGAAAAACAACTTCTAATTTTAAGAGTCTATCAAGGGAATGTAAGTATACTTGCCAAAGACATAAAAGATAAACGGAAAAATACAGTTCTTCAAGTATTATTCATTCAATGTTTAGGAGGACAAAATTTAACATGACAGAACGCTTAACTAATACTAAAGTCCTTTGAAAGACTTTATAATTTTTTTAAATAGAAAAATCATCATCAAGGAAAATAGGATATGGTAAACAGTTGGATTAGATGGTTGGCTATCAAGTTTAATATGGGTTTATAATAGGGAACATAAATGGAATTTGGAGAGACAGATGTTATTGACTGTTTTTAAGAACAATGTCAACCTCCAATAAGCTCCAAATTCATAAGTAAGAAAAGACAGATTATATGAACAAAGTTATATTAATAAATTTTTTAAAAGATTTTTTAAAAATTATTTTACTTAACTTTATTTATTTTATTTTTTGTGACCAGAGAGGGACAGAGTGAGAGAGAGTAAGAAAGGGAGAGAAAGAGAGAGAGAGTGAGAAAGCAAGGTTTGGTACTTGAACTGCAGTTGGCCATGTGGGAGTCCAGTGCCCTTAACCACCATGCTACCTGCTGGCTCTTATATTAATAAAATTATTCATTTCATTTTGTTTGATTTATCAATTTAATCTGAATTCAATTTAGATCAATCCTGTGAAAAGATACATATTAAGTCCATACAAATGAAATATTTTGTCCTTCAAATATAAACATGCAAAGATGATACAAACACCCTACTACCAGTAACGAGCACTTCTTGCTAACTTCTCTCACCCTTACCCACTCATAACAATGACTGAGTATAGAATAATCCACATTAAAACACACAGTTGTATATTAAGAATTGCTGAGATAGTTGAAAGGAATCTAGGTTCAGACAAAATATCGCAGAACAAATTTTTCTGCAGAGAGCCGTTGATTTGATGCAAGATGAAATATCATAGTTACACTGGAACTAAGCCTTAAAAAAATCTAATAACTAGCAAACATAATTATATTTAAAGGTCAAATAAAAATATATCATCCTTAATCCTCAGAAAATACAATACCCTTACTGACATCTCAATTTCAAAAACAATACTTTTACTAAATATTTATTAGGGCTTGGGTTAAAACTTTGCAATATCACAGAACTTGAAAGATAAAAGGTAACATTCATAGCCATCAGGATCACCTAACAAGGCTGGGGGACAATGGGACCACATTCAGAAACAGAGTTCTAGAAACTAGTACACCAGGTTCTAGTGTAGAAATTTTTCCACAAACACTGACTTCATAATGAACAAAATAGATTGATTTGGCCATTTTACAATGGACTTCATATACTGCTTTTACAATTTTTCTATATAGTGATTAAACTTTTCTATGAAATATATGCCTTAAAATTGAGGCCAGGCATATGAATAACCAAAACAAAATCAAGTGAAGCAGTGTTATCATGTATCATATGGCTTAACAGTAATGCTTCTGAGATAATGTGCACATGGCTAGATATGCATGATTTAACATCCCACTCATGGCCAACAAGCCACGGAAGCTGAAGAGAAATGGAGCCAAGCAGTTGCATAACTGTGACGTTTGCAAGGTTTGCCTTTATCATATCCACCTTTCCCATCATTCTCTGTCTTTATTTTTTATCTGATCAATGATCATCTCTCTTCCCATCTCACAGGTCTTCTATCTTTCTTCTCTGTTCTTTTCCTTTACAGAAGATGAAATAATTTTATAAATATTATCTGCACCTTGTTGGCTGACAGGCATAACATAAGAACTACTTATAAGAATTTTAGTCAGTGTACTAACTAAACCAGATACTTAGCTTCTAAGCCCTTAATCCCCAAATGTGGAAGGTTTGTTCCCACAAGAATTTTAGACCTCAATTGATGGAAAGAGAATGATGCAGAGAGATTCTAACCCTTCTGGTCATTCATTAAAAGAAAATCTGGGGACCAGCCGATGGAGTAATGGTTACATTGCTGGACTCCCACCTAATCAACCACGGTTTGAGTCCTGCTGGTGGCTTAAAACTTAAAACACGTGCCAGGCACGTGTGCATGCATGCCCAAAATCTCAAGAGGAGACTGGCGAAGAAGGGATTGCATCCCCTTGGGGAGTTATTTCTTGCTTTCTGTCTCTCTGGCCCGTGTACACCCCATATAGCAAAAATCTCAAAAGGAATAAAAAAAAAAAGAAAGTCTGAAGGCAAACCAAATATCTGTTTACGGTACAATGAATAAGAGCATAAAGGAGTACTACTTGGTATACACTCCATAACAACAACCAACACTATTGGTCCAACTTCTGGCAGATATCTGAAACACTAGAAATTTTAAATTTCTAAGGTTTGAGATAATTGATACTATTGCAGAGATTTGAAATTAGAATTCCAAGTATTTTCAAGGCTAGTTTGCATGTATTCACCATGTTTACAATATAAATGTTAATATTCATATAGCGCCTTATTCTTACAAGTGTTTTTGTATATTCTGTCATTTGAACTTCATCAATATATGCTGTAAATATCATTACCAGTTTTCAAAATAAATAGGCTAAGATTTTTAGAAAATAAAAATAACATAAGGCACATCTAGGATTGAACTTAAGAATTTACTATATTTTCTAATTATAATTTTTAAATTGTATATCAGTATTAAAATAACTTGTATATGTAAATTCCAAATACTTTTAAGGTAAAAGAATTGATACTGTTCCAAATTTCTAGGAAATTTTGTTAATCTTTTCAAACTCAAGTTTCTTACTCTAGTCTGTGTGTCAATGATTGTTTTGTTATGTTCAGCTGTTTTACCTTTCTAAAAGAATTCAGGAACAGAAGAAATGTCAAAAACATATAACTAATAAACAGGAAAAGTCATTTTTGAATATCAAAAGTAAGTATTTCTCACTTATATTATTTTTCTTTGACATCCTTTGCAGTCTTATTCAAACTCATTTAAAACATTAGACAGAAAATTTGCAATTGTATAGTTTGTTTTTAACCAGTGATTCATGTAGATTTTTATAACTAACTTCTTTGCATATTTTATTAATTTGCCAACTGAGAAGTGATGTAACTATAAGCTGCATTCTATTTCTGCAAAAATGCCATTTTTACTTTGGCTTTCCTTGAAATAAATTATAAAATGGGATGATCATAGACTAAGTTCCTTTATTCAGTTGGGACATTAAATCAGAATTACTGTTATACACATTTAAAACTCTGACATTTCACTACTTTCATAATGTTTTCTGCTCAACAGAACATATGTTCAAAGTATCTACTATTAAAGTCACCAAATCAGATTTATTTTTGAAATATATGTGAATATTTTAAGGAAAAAAAGAGATGAAAACAAGAATTTAGTAACTGTGAAAACTGACCAATACAATGCTCTGAGCTTTATTTCTAAAAATAAATGATATGCATTAAAAATAATAGCATCTGAACACTTAAAACAACAAAGTAAGAAAGGGGCTCACCAGTCTGAGTGAAACTGAACTGATGTGGAGTACCATGAGCGGTCAGCATGTTTGACTGTTTTAGGTTGGACTGTTGTGAGGTGGCTGGTGGTGGTGGAGCAAACGAGAGATTTTTGTTGACCTGTAATAGGAAAGGCAAATCAGAAACTACAGCGTAATTTCCTGGGTTACTGATGCAAAAACTGGATGAGAAATATTTGCTTGCTATACAAACCAGGACACATGGCAGATCAAGGGGAGAGAGAATGTCTTACGCAATTAAAGTTTACTAAACAGAGTTGTTTTTCATCAGCGAAGAAATATAGTGATAATGAAAACAACTATATAAAATTAAATCAGCCCTACTAAAGTTTGCTTATATGTGAGTGACATTAATAACTTAAAATAGAGTGGTCTTAAGTTATGCAAAGAAATGCAAAAAAAAAAAAAGTGACTCTTTGACTGCTTTCAATTAAGAGTTAATATGTTTCATACCCACATTTCTCTAGCATTTTAGTGAAATACAAGGTACTTCCTTTATACAGAGATTGCACAGAAAACACCTGTATTATTTATGTTTATATACATCATGGTGACATAGATAACACAGCTGTAACCTAACTTGTCTTGTGAAAGTTTCCACGGCATCAACAAACCTTTTTCTTAAAACATTGTTTAAAAACAGCACTAAAATAATGATTAAGCAAAATTTCCACAAATGTAAGTTTCTACAACACATAAAACCTACTATAATTTTCTAAGTATAAAAATCTCACAGAACACACATTCCAATTATAGAAAAATAAAGTTTACCAAAAAAACTTAAAATCTTTATTAGTAAATTAATCTTGTAAGTTAGAATGAATTTCAGAAAAAAATCTAGTCTTTTGTTCATTATAACAAATCATTTTATCTTTATCACTTTCAAGAATTATGATATAGTCTATTTTTCAAAAATTGAAACTGATTTTCTAATTCACTGCAAAAATCTAACTTGTGAATTAATAAAATTACAAATACTTTATAAATATTAATATTAGTAAATAAACATAAATATTAGTATATTAAAATGTTCCTTTCCATCTTTTTGTTTAAATAAAACCTATATAGAGGACTTCCATGGCACCAGTATTTAAAAGTTCTCTTTTGATGTTCTGTATAAGATAGTAGTACTAGGTTGTGTTTGCATGCCCTTTTTCCAACTATTTACATGTTTATAAATTCCCTTTAAATAAAAAAGAAAGTGACAGTAAACTGTTTATCTTAGATTAATTTTTTCTCTTGAAGCAAAGAACTTTAGCAGATTTGGTGAGAAAGTCAATTGAGACCATAGACTTTTTTTTTTTTTTTTTTTTAATGGAAAGGTTATTGATACAGGGTGTGTGCACTCGCCTGAAAGACAGACAGAGACAGTGAGACAGAAAGTGAGAAATCACCCCACGGTGGGGATGGCCACACCACACCACAATCTCTTCTCCTCCATTCAGCTCTCGAGATCTTCGGCACGCATGCACATGCCCCTGCATGAGTTTAAACCACTGAACGGGTCCAGGACTTGAACTACGGTCGACTACATGGGAGTCCAGTGACACAGCCATTACACCATCTGCTGGTCCCGAGATCATATATTAATATAGTTCTAAAGTGCCTAAACTGCTATGATATTATCTCATAAAAAACAGAAATTATTTTCCAAAGTAGTTAAAAAGAAGCAGTCAAAAACCACCCCAGTGATAAATATTGTCCAGTTAAAAAACTTATTAAGATCCATTAAACAATGACCAAAATTAATGTTAATTATTTATATTAATACAACACCGAAAATAACACTGAAAGCACTTACCAACTTTAGTTTCACTTTGCATCGTTAAATGGAGATAATAAAAATAATATCTATATGCTTTTAGAAGAAATGTGCCAGGGAGTAATAAAGATGAATTGGTATAAAATGCTATTCACATGCTAATTATAAAGCTCTAAACAACACATTAAATAAGAAATAGATTAAATAGAATACATTAACAAAGGGAAACTATAAAGTACAATATAAAAAACTGCTATATAATTAATAGGCATGATGAATATCACTAGAAGTAAGAGTAATTATGTATATTTAATAAAGTATGAGGATACAGTAAAATTTTCAGAATTCTATGCTTTTAAATGGAAGTACTCTACACAAAAGGATATATTTATCGCATTACTGTCTGTCTAATCACTTCTTTTTAAAATCATTTTTCAACTTTACCTCTGTGTTTCTGAAAGCACTTATCTTACATATCAAACAATGCATTTTAAAATCTAGTGCAAACAAGCAGGTGTTGCTGAGGATATGGATTCTCTCTCTGACACACACACACTGCTTTTTCTTGTCTTTCCTTTCAAAAACAAAGACAAAAACAAACTAAAAGGCTAGAATAGAATACTTAAATAAATGCCTCTTCTCAAATAGAAAGACTTGTCATTTTTTAAATAAAATGTTTCTTAAACTATAAAACTATAAAACAAAGAACTATAATCTACACTTATGTGTTCATAAACATTTTTACAATTTTGCTCTTTCTTAAAATAATTCTTTAAAGACTATTCAAATGTCTGTATAAATATGTGATGAAAAGTAATTACAGAGTTGATAACTCAATGCCTAAAGTTTGGAATAATCTATTATTAGTGATTTGAAATTAGAACTCAAAAGCATTTTCAAAAGCAGTTTACACATATTTATCACTCCATTAAGAGGAAGAAAAATAATAATAACTATTAAACAGAGTGAAGCAATATCTATTTTTGAAATATATGCTGTGGAAAAGAATTGCTTAATAATTTTACAACAACAGAAAGGTTGGTTAAGATAGTCTACCCTACGCCAATCTACCCTCTTTTCACAACACACTTTCTGCTTGCTTCATGCACAAACCACAGTCTGCCAGAGTCAGTTTAATACTTCCATATTACAGGAAACTAAGAGCATAAAAATATAATAAAATTCATTACAGGGAACAACAAAAACCAAAACAATTACCTAGAACTTATGCCAAGTTAATTATAAAACTGTTTTGCTTACTCTTCTAGAGTATAAGCAGTTTTATGCAAAATATGCAAATACTAATTCTCTAGGACAGCATTCATTTTTATATTAAAAAAACCTCACTGCCTCAAACATAAAACTGAATATATAAGACTAAGAGAAACTAAGAGAAACTAATACAAAAGAGAAGCTAAGTTTCTCTTTTAGAAATTAGTTAAAATGTAAAACTTTTGAGAGAGTTATAACACTCATTTCCATATATACTTACAAGTATAATTATTTTACGTGACTATATGTTACATTTTTTAAAAAGAATTATTTAGGAACCCACAGATGGCATAATGGTTACATTGCTGGACTCCCACTTAGTCGGCAGTGGTTCGAGTCCTGGACCCAGCTACTTAAAACGCATGCCGGCACATGTATATACGTATCTGAAATCACGAGAGGAGAATAAAGAAAAATTGTGTAATGGCGTGGACATCCCACCTGGGGAGTGACTTCTTGCTTTCTGTCTCTCAGTCTTGGGCAAATGCACACATTCTATTGCAAAAATCTCTCTTAAAACAAAAAAGAATTATTTATTAATAACATTATTATTTTAAAATGTGCTATAAGGCATGTATGCTAACCAGAGAGGGACAGAGTGAGTGGCAGTGAGTGAGAGAGAGAAAAAGGGAGAACAAGAGAGAAGGAAAGTGAAAAAACAAGCCACCAGGTCCAGGACTTGAACTGCAGTCAGATTGTGGGAGTCCAGCACCCTAATCACCATACCACCTACTGGTCCCTATTTGTTACATTTGAAGGAGAATCATTTATGACGTTTCAAGCAGTGAAGATACTTCAAATTGGCTCTAAATAACTTAAAAGATATTAACTCTATGTATACGTTAAAGTTCATTAATTTATCTTTATCTCCCAGATAGCTTTCCATTTTCCTCCCGCTAAATCTGAAAAATAATGCAGGTAATATTTTAACTTGAACACAATTCTAGTGGAAGATCAAACAAATAAACAATACCCAAAAACAGTACTCAGAAAATGTTTTGTTGCAAATTATGTATCTGTTGTAAAAATTAAAGTCCCAGCATTAAATAATAAGTTAAACAAAAAACGGGCCAATGTAAGAACCACGGTATCTGAAGTCTGGTGTTTTTAATTTTTCTACAATATAATTTCTAAAAGTAGTTATATGCCTGTGATTTCTGGGTTAGTCACTTCTAAGAAATGAGTAGACTATATCATAATGGAAAATTCAAACATGATTGCTAGTAGGCCCTCAGATGTTTTCTTTAGAAATCAGGAGAGGGAAGGAAAGCTGTAACTGTTAAAGAGACATTTTTACAGTGTAAGGAGACAGAAAATATCATTTCTAACACAGTTCTTACTATTACAGTAGCTAACCTCATAACTCAAATGAATCAGTCACTAGAAAATTGTCTTTTTTAATACTTAATAGATTTTTCTGAGCTTCTGATAGGTATGAAGGACTGGTGATTTAACCATTAATGATATCATTCTTCCAAATGAAGTTCAAAACAAAGATCTTGTCCTGCCACAAACCAGTTGTCAGGCGATATGCCTGTCTAGCAATAAGCCTTAGGGTAAGGCAGTTTACCTCAGTGCATCTTGGTTTTCTCCTTATCTCCTCTTTTTAAAAAGAATTATTTATTTATTTTTATTCATTATCATCATTATTATTACTTTAATTTTGATCTAGGGCACATGTGTTCACCAGAGACAGAGAAGGAAAGAGAAAGCAAGCCACCAGGTCTGGGATTTGAACTGCAGTTGACCATGTGGGAGTCCAGCACTTTAACCATCATGTCACTTGTTGGCCCCACCTCTTTTTTTTTTTCTCAAAATAAATTTTTATTTAAATTAATATAAAGGATTATAGTTAAGAGATACTCTAAATGATGTATAAACTGCATTTTATTAACTTATTTGCATAGTACCTTCTAGAATTTTATTTATCTATTTCTACGAAGCAAATTTACAGATTTTTTTTTCACAGATATATTTTCAATAGAAAACTCTCCGTTCTTTTGTCTGTTATATGTTTCTTCCCTTTTCCCCTCTCATCTACCCTCTACCATTCACTTACAGTCTCT